GGAGATGTAGTAAGAACCACCACCCCTGTATCTTTCAAGTCTTTGATGGTGGCACTAATTTCTGCAGTTCCTCCAGGGATGTGATAATGTTTTTGATTCACTATATTCCCTGGCAGAGGCAACTCTAAAGGCTTCCATTTAGCCTTTCCAATCATAATAGCCCTCACTACACAGGTCAGGGACCCAATGTCAGAATTCTGCCAACTTCTAAATATATCTATCCCAATTACTTTCTGGGACTGGGGAAATAACTACAGTGTGAGTTTGGGGACCCACAGGACCTACTGTGAATCAGACATCATCCAAAACTTCATTAATCACCTGACTTCCATAAGACCCTACTTTAACTGGAGGACCACAATGTTTCTTGGGATCTCCCAGTATCAGTGTTGATTCATTATCCATAAACCCTGGAAAGTCTGATTGTTCCCTTTCCCCCAGTGTATGGTTACCCTTGTAAAAGGCCATAGGTCCCTCTGGGGAAGAACTGTAGAAAAGCTAACAGTAAAAACCTTACGTATTTTATCATGGTACATCCTCAGGAGAACCTGGCCACCCCTTCATTCAAGGGGTTCTGGATCTGCAAATCGGCTCAAGTTTGGAAATTCATTCACAGGCCAAGATTCCCCAACAGAGCCTTTCTTTCATATGTGTGAGAATTTTTTCGCTTATGCAGATCCAACAAAAATACAATAAGCTTCTTATCTATTTCATGCTTGGAAATACCATGATTGATTAATCAGTACCAAATGTCCATATAAGTCATGCCACTAAAGTATTCATTGTGCCTCTGCTGACAAGTATAGGTCAGGCCATTATGAACATTGCTTTGTCTATGCTGCCCATTGCAATAACTACAATCACCTTGCCTTTGGTAATTTAGTACTGCCTCCTGGCCCCTGCTACTTTGGGGCCCAATTAAACCCATTACATTTAATTCATCCAACTGAGCAGCAGCATCTCCAACCCTAAGGTCTGGCACAAGGAAAAGGGTGAAAACAAAGCTCTTCAAATGTACTGATGCCCTCTCACAATTTTACATCTTAAAGGATTAGTAAAGGGCATGTCTTCTATGCCTTCCCTTTACACAGCGTACCCACTCTAGCTTTGCAATTTTCCTGAGCCTTAAAATCCCCTCATTAACACTAAGTCCAGGGATATCAGGCATCTCCAACTCCTTTTCAGTAGACCATCTTTTGACAAACGCTTCAGCTAACCATTCAAACAGACTTCTGACATCCTACTTTTTTTTTAACTATGCAAGCTTTCATATCAAACCTAAACCTTGTATGCAGCCTGATCCAGTTTTATATTCCTTTCACCACTATTCCATACTCTTAAAATCCATTCCCACACACATTTTCCAGGCTTCTGTTTGAATGAATTCACAAACTCATTAAGCTCTTTAGTAGTGTAGCACATCTCCTTCCTCATGGACTACACTTTCTACCCACCCTCTTAAGAGCCTGCTTAGCCTCAAGTCCAGTTATAGGTCTAGAGCAGTGGTTCTCAATCTTCCAATGTTTTGACCCTTTAATACAGTTCCTCATGTCGTGGTGACCTTCAACCATAAAGTTATTTTCGTTGCTACTTTATAAACTGCAGTTTTGCTACTGTTATGAATTAGAATGTAGATATTTTTGGAGACTGATGTTTGTCAAAGGGGTAGCAACCCACAGGTTGAGAGCCGTGGGTCTAGAGCAACTATTGGTGGGCCCTGAGGGACATCAGTCTTGTCTTGCCTGGCACCTTCTTCAGAGAAAGTCACTGCTGGTTTAGTAGATAATGAAGGATTAATTTCCTCAGTCAAGGGTAGAAAAGGCAATATTTCAGAGGGTGGAGGGTGGCAGTACATCTTTTGCTGACAGTGGAGAGATTACTTCCTCATATGAGATAAATCCTTGAAAATCTGAGGGTTCAAAGTTCTCAGCCTCAATAAGGTCCTCCTATGCATCCTCAGCCCAAGTTACAGGATCCCATTCTTTACCAATTAATACCCTTACTTTACCCTCCAGGCTGGGACTTGAAATTTTCACTGTAATTCAGCCAACCTTATAATGAGGGCTTCGGTTTGATTTTCTGCTGGAGAGAAGATTCTCTTCTAGGGCACACACAGAAAACTTTAGAATGTTTATGTGAATTTGGAGCCAGTCAATTTTATCACCAAGTTGATTGTTTTCTTTCACCATATTCTGAGATGTTAGAAGTTAATTAATTTTATCATGGAGCTAATTCTTTTCCTTTGTCAACTTATCTAGAGATGCTAAGAGCAACCAACCAGCAGCATTATTTATCTTATTCTTCTACAAATTATCTAAAGTTTTATTTACAGAGTTACCAAATCTATTGCCTCTCATAATTGATAAATCAGGATAATCAAATGCATTCATCTCCTCAAGTTTGTAAAATAGTTTACATCATGGGCTTTCAGTGCTCTCTAAGCTCCCAGGAGAGGCTTCAACTGGAAAGGCTTCAAGAACTGTCGATGTTGGCAAACTGGAAATCTATTCCAGATACTTACAAAAATTCATCCTTATACTTCTGTTGCTCTAGAACTATTCTTGGTATCTGGTATCTGTATTAGTCAAGGTTCTCTAGAAAAACAGAACTTATGGAATGAATCTATATATAATAGAAAGGGGATTTATTAAAATAGCTTACAGGCTGTGGTCCAGCTAGTCCAACAATTGCTGTCTACCAACAGCAGATCCAAGAATCCAGTAGTTGTTCAGTCCACAAGGCTAGGTGTCTCAGCTGGTCTTCAGTATACACCAGAATCCAGTAGAAGTAGGCTCTAAGGCCAGTGAAGGAATGGGCATAACAGTGAGAGTGAGGGCAAGCTGGCAAAGAGAGAGCTTCCTTCTTCCATGTCTCTATATAGGTTTCCAGTAGAAGGTGTGAGCCAGATTGAAGGTGTGTCTTCTCACTTCAAAGATCCAGAGTGGAAGTGGCTCCTCCTACTCCAAATGATTTAATTAAGAATCTCTCACAGGTGTGTCCAGCCACTTGGGTTTTAGTTAATTCCAGATGTAGTCACGTTGACAACCAAGAATAGCCATCATACCTGGCTTCTCACAAACACAAAAACCCTGGTAGACATATAAAATTGAACACTAGAAACAAAGGAGTGTGGGTTTATTTATATACTTATTTGTTCATTTTTGGTGGTGGTGCTGGGGATCAAGCATAGGGTCTGTGCATCCAGGCAAGCCTTGCACCCTAAGCTGTACTCAGCTGTTCAATTCACAGTTTTAAAGAAGTGGTTCCCCATGCCCAGACATTTGCTGACAAATATGATAGTGCCAGAGTGTTTGGGTGTGCACACAAGAGCATATGTGTGTGTACACACACAGATTCCAATTTGAAAAGAAAAAACGTAACTCCCCAAAATATGAGGAATAAACCCTCTCTTTGTTTTTGTTTTTGTTTTTGTCATTGTCTCACTATGTAGCCTTGGCTTGCCTAGAGCTCACTATGTATACCAGGTTGGCCTCAAACTCAGAGATTCACCTGCTTCTGCTGGAATCAAGGTATGCACCATCACAACCACCCAGGACAACCCTTTCTACCAAACTCAAGAACCAGGGCTAAGCATTCACTCCTTCAAATTCACAATGTAAATATGCAGTATCTTGGCCAAGGCTTAAATACAACAGCCAGGAATGGAAAAGAAAATATGCCCACTAAATAATAACTAAAATAAAATAAAAAATAAAAATAAATTAATAAAAAGAGTTACACCCAGTCATAAGTAAACAACCATGACCATCCAAGTCTAGCTCCTGGGCAGGCAGTACATAGCATTGGATACTCAAGAACAGCTATGCACAGTCATTGCTCCATAGCAGTCAGCCCCATCCCTCCTCGGGGCTCTGTGCAGCAGGCCTCTGGTGCCCAAACCAGAAATGCTAAACTTGGTGATGAGGGGAGTTGACCTCACTAGCTAGGAACGAAAATGATGAGATCTGTTAGAAAAATGCAGAGTTGTGGTTCAGGCTGACAAGAGCAAAGGAACTTCATCAGTTGGGCCCTTTTCTCCTGGTATGGCTTTGGGGAGTGAGTTACGTTGGGAGGGTCTTTTACTTGGTGAGAAGATGAACAAAGTGCAGAGACTGTTACAGCAGAGAACCACCCCTTCTGGACACCACAGAGGGCTTGGCCTTTTAACCCTGGCTGGGCCCAAGCATGGGGCCCGGGTTTTGTCATGGGCACCTCCCTGCTGCTTGTACTGGCTGCTCCACAGCAGATAGAGGAAGGAGGCAGGCCCCCCAACACCTACTTAAGAGAGGCAGATGGAGAGGAGAATGTGTGGGATGCCTTTACCTCCCCCTCAGGAGGCGCCCAGCAGGAGTCCACAAAGCCAGCAGCTCCAAAATCGGATTTCCACACATCCTCCCACCCCAGAATGCCTTACCCCCGTGGCAGGAGGAAATAGAGCATTAAGCAAGTGTGGCTCTGGTTTGCAAAGGGATTTCAGAAGGCCTGAAGTCATCTTCTCACACTTCTGCACGTTTCTGGAACTTCTACAGAGGCAGCCAGGTTGGGAAGTTATTCAGACACTGACTCAAAGAGGGCAAGGGTTCTACTCTAAGGAGCACACAATCAGTGTCTGTAGGCTGTCCTGAGCTAGACACATACTTTATTAATAATCTTACATACACAAAATGTCCTCAGGGAAGCCTAACAGACTAATTTCTGACAGCTCCAGATAACAGCAGGAGGGACTGAAGCCCTGCTGACTCTCCAGTTTCCACATACCACTCAGGAGCACTGAGGCCCTCCCCACCCAAGGGATGTGATGCAAATAAATAAATACAATTATCTGCAGGACTTCAAGTGAAAGAGCAACATCACAAAGTCCTTCTCCCCAAGATCACTGACTTGTGGGGAACAGATAGGACACCAAAACAACAGCTGGAAAACTTAATTACAGAAGGACTATGCAAAAGCTGACAACTGTTTCACAGAACCAACCAATGGCTGAAGCCCTTCTCCCTTACCTTAAGATACAGAAGCAGCTCTTGGCCCCTGAAGATAAGCGGCAGAACCCAAATCTCTGTTTGCTGTCAATGTCAGTGAGCACGAACGTGAAGTGCTGGCCAACTTGGCTAACTGTGAGGCTGCAGTGAAGACAGAACAAAGGGAGAAATGAATTTGTGCTAAGTTTCCAGATAAAGTATCTAATCGCCACAAGTCATTGAACCTGTTACATTTCCTTCGTGGACCTTTACAAATGAGCTTAAAATTTACACACTTCAAAAAAGCAGACAAGAAAGGAAAGGGAAATGAAAGAGAGGAAGCAAGGACAGAGCAGGGAAGGAAGAAGTGGAATGAGGAAAGAGGAAGGAGTGGGAAGAAAGGGAGAGAAAGGAGCCTATTCTAATGACCACTAGAAATCAAAATCAACAACACTTTCCAATGTCCCTAACTGAGTTCCGGCCCCAGGTAGCTGTGTCAATCGGCTATCAGTGCTGAAAGAAGCACTCTATCATCCTCACATAAAGAGGAAGAAAACTGAGACAAGCACTGCCTAAGGTACCATGAGGTGGGTGGCAAAAAGCTGGTTTTTTTTTTAAGCCTTTCTGTGACTCCAATGGCCACAGCACCAGCTCACTGTCACTGCTATGGTTATTTACATATCTAATGTACCACTTCAGTTATTTTCATGATAATCTTGGAATTTCAGGAATGTTCCCATTTTACAGAAAAGGACAGTCAAGAGTAGCTAGGGAACTCAGGTTCAGTGAGTGCCAGGAGGAGCCATCATGAACACTGGAATGAAAAAGGGGCAGAGCTATGTGTTGTTCTCCTGGATTCCTGAACCTTTGATACTTTCTGAACTTTGAGGAACATATTTATTAGCTTAGAGGGCAGGAGTACCAAAACGTTAAGCTTGTTTAAGGGACTAAAAATTAAAGCAATGTTTCAAGACATTAAAAAGCCAAAAATTCTTGTATCAGTACAAAATAAGCTAACTACACATAAAAGCAATATAGAGTAGGAAATGTCTAATAAATAATTTAAAAGCATGTTAACAACCAGATTAATCTAAAACTATATTAAGTTACAAAATGCTTCAAAATGCACAATTTTTATTAGTTTACCTATATCTCATGCTTTTAAAAATGTAAACATTTCAAATTCTAATATGTAAGTTTATACTAACATAATATTTAGAATTTGATAGTGAATTAATCCAAGGAATTCAGTGACTTATATGTATCTTATACTATATTTATACAAAGTGTACTTGAGTTGATAAGACACGGACTTTGTTAAAATATTCAAACTGATGCTAAGGTACCAATTGTCAGTAGAAATGAAAAATCATTCTTAACAGGCCTTTGCCAAAGGCAGGACTGTATTGTCTTTGGGTAAGCTATGAATTAAAATTTCAAATTTAGAATAGACTTTCTTTCTAAAGCTCCCTTATACAAGTCACAAAAGAAAAGTAAAATTAAAGAGATTTTCAGGGTATCCCAGCACAAAGGTCAAGGGCCTTGCCTAGTTATATTTAAGGAAACAATTCTATCCCTTAGAGAGTGCTTCAAGCACAGGAAAATGGCTCCAAAAGACAAGGAAGTGTTCCACTCTCCTTATTTAACTAGGAAGGTGAACAAAAACAAGGTGGCAATTTCAAAGCCATGTGGTAATAAAGCAGGTGTAAGTAATGCTATCCCCACCTTATACAGGGGAAGGAACACATTTCCATAAAAGTTATAGAGCTGTCAAGGGGACACCAAATGCTACCTTCTTATGGCTGTTATGTTTTATCTATAAAGCTTGGATACTGTGTTACTATGGTGATTTTAATACTATGTTTTAAAGGGGGATTATATGATTAATTTTAACAAGGTTGAGAACTGAAGATGTGTGAGAAACAGGATTCTAGCTCACATAATTAAAGTGGTCCGGGAGGAAAGTATGCCTCAGTGGGGGAGGGAGAGCCTGTTTTTATTAAAATACTTAAAGCAACAGGTTTTGTAAGTCCAAGACACAAATAAGGTCATGTTTCTGGGAGATGTTACTATGTGATCCTACCGAATGTGATTCATTATTTTGCTTTGGGTTTGACTTTAGTCCTCAAATGTGCAAAATGGAAACTAGAAAAGAAGGCTGTCGATAGGGCTGGATAAAAATCAAAACAAAACAGAACCCTAGGGAAGGGTCATGTATGCAAATCACTTCACCTGCAAGTGGGCTGCCATTAACTTTCTAACCCTCACATTGCCATTAAAAATGATTTTTAAAAAAAGTATACATAACTACATTTTAAGCTCAAAGAAAGATTCATTGCTCACTGGCTTGCTGCAAAACCCAGCTCAGTCACTATTACCTGGGCTTTAACCTAGCAAGTTTCTTAAAACCAGCTTTCAGAGCCTCGATTTCTTCACATGGAATAATTATGAGACGCTACCACTCAACCCTAAGTATACTTTGGGAATCAGTGGGATAAAAGTTTATTTTTAAAAGGACAGTCCTTAGTAGGAATAATTAATAAAAGGTAAGAAGCAAGCTGCTCCCAACTGACTGAAGATAAAATTCACAGGAAGGTCATGATTTAGAGTCTCCCTGACCAACGCAGCTTTCTAACCCTGAGCACAAGTAGTTCTTTTGCCTCATTTCTTTCTTTCTATAAGAGTAGTCCTCTAAGGGATCAAGTGATTCAAGTTTGCATTAAAATGAATGATTCTTTTTGGGATGTTGCAGTTTAGAAGGAGACACTTATTATTCTCAATTGAGTCACCTTTTTAATTCCTAGAAGGGTTGAAGTACAGGTCATCAAAAACACAAAAGCAGTCGACTCAATTTTTTTTTCTCCCCTTGGACAACGTCCAATAAACTAAGTCTGTCAGGGGCAGTCAAATAGAGGTTAACTTGAAGGATTCTGAATCTCCAAGGAATGTATCACTCACTCCACTAGCTGAGGACTAGTCTATGGGAGTATTCACTATTTTTTTCATTAAAAAAAAAAAATGACTCCGGGTCTTTTTCCTCAAAAGCTATAGTTTGTTTCCTTTTAATATCAGCATCCATTATTTCTATAAAAATCAGCTATTTCACAATGATTAAAGCAAAAGAAACCATAGGAACCATGTGATCCAATTTTCTTGTTTTATGGGTGGGAAAACTGAGGCTTAGGGTTTTGTTTTGGTTTTCAAAGTAATTAGGACTAGGGCAAAAATCCAAGCCAACTTGTGGTTCAATGTCTTTCCATCCTGCCATGCTGCTCTAAACACAAGGCCAGCCTTCCCCTAGAAATCTCACCTCAGGTTAAGGAACTAAACTATGACAAGAATGTAGAGTTGTCTTGGCAAATGGACTGTGCTTCTTATTAAGATCCAGAAAGGGAATCTCAGCACCTACAGAAATAAGCCCAGCTGACCAGAACCAGGATACTGATCACACTTACTTAGGTACACTTAGATGAACATACAAAAAAGAACTAAGCCCAGACTGTGATCTTCATGCTATGCTCTAAATGCTCGTCAGCTGTTCAAGGTCCTTCTCACCCTATTTTGTTTAATATTGAAGTTGCTTACAGGTTCGGTGCAAGAACAGTACAAAATACGTGGATACACAGTTTTGAGTCTAGTCTTTCAGTAAGAAATGAGGTTTTTACATGTCAGTAAGCTTACTCATTTTGCACACTGAAATGCAACTACACAAAGTGATATAGTATGTGCTGGAAACACATGCTGAACAACAAAAACAGAGATCTTGTAACTCACACAGCTGACTACCGAACTGGACAACAGCTTCTCAGGGATGACAACATTGATTCAAAGGATAAGAGGGAATGGCCACACCAGGCACAAGAAACTGGGTATTTCTAGCAAAGGAAAAAGCTGCGCAAAGATCCTGAGGGTTGAAAGAAGCCAGGCACATGCAGGAATGAAAAGGATACCAGGAGCACCCTAAAGCACAAGAAACAAACAGCAGCCATCACATGAGTTGCTTCATAAAGCAAGCACCAGGCCATACAGAGTACCTCATACACAAGTCATGGTAAGATATCTGCTCTTCAAGGGGTGTCAAGATCATCATGGAGAAATCTTCAGAGGCAAATGAACCAAGCACACAGGAACTCACAAACTTTACACCAACGACTGTGGAACCCGCATGGGATCGAACTAGGCCCTCTGCATATGGGAGACAGTTGTGTAGTTTGGTCTGTCTAAGGGGCCCCTGACAGTGGGATCAGAATCTATTCCTGGTGCATGAGCTGGCTTTCTGGATCCCATCATCTATGGTTGGATGACTTGTTCATCCTTGATGCAGGGAGGAAGGGCTTGGCCCTGCCTCAACTGAATGTACCAGGCTTTGCTGACTCCCCAAGGGAGGCCTTATCCTTTTGGAGGAGGGGATGGGGGACGGATGGAGGGGGAGGTTAAGGGGAAGCAGGAGGAGGGATGAGAAGAGATCTGTGGAAAAAGAATTAAATTTATGGGGGAAAAAGGTATTTACTCTTTTAGGTGGGTATGGGGTGTTTGGAGTAATGAAAGGCCACTGAATAGTTCAAATCAAAAGAAAAGCATTCATTTCAAACATCTAAAAGAATGTCAAGTACAGGGTTGAATATACTACTTAGAAAGCCATAGGAATGTTTGAGTTGGAGGCATACATTCAAGTCATCTGAATATGGGTAGTGCTAAATACTACAGAAATGATGAGGTCACCCTAGGAAAAGAGCCCAGAGAGGCAGAAGAGCATCTTGGACTCATTCACAGAAATACTAGTGGAGACAGCAGATGGGAAAGGGGCCATCAAAGAAAGAGAGACCCAACAGGCAGAACAAAGAGGAGGGAAGGTCACATGTCCTGATGCATCAAAATGAGAAGGGAAAATGTCTATCACTGTTAATGACAGGAAGGCCTTGGGTGGCCTTGACAAGAACAGTTGTAGCTGAAAGACAAAAACAAGAGAGGCTGGAACGAGCTGAGGAATGAGTTGATGGGTATAGATAACTCTTTCAAGAACTAAAGAACCAAACAGTAGTTAGGTGGGAAGAGTCATTGTCGGGTACTGCTTTGGGGTAGGAGAAACACCAAAAGTTGTTTTTAAGCCACTGAGAATAACACTAGAAAAAGAAGACGAAACAGTCAGAGCTGTGCTTTGT